CCCCCCGACTGGAGGCTTGTTATCATTCATGCATTACAGCAGTGGTACACTTATGTCCAGCGTGCTATATTCCACTGAAAGCCCCTCATGCCCCCCCAGCACCTCACCTCACTATTTGAGAAGTACTGGTTTATAGACAGAAATAAAGATGCTATTTTAACCCTCCACACAGATAAAAGTCTGTCTGAAGTCCAGAAATAAGTACAATATCATTAGTAATATCACTAAGTACAATAAGACAACAATGAAAATTAAATTTCCTCTAAAATGTCATCAAAATAAAATGTAACATACAGTCCCCTCCAAAAGTATTGGAACGGCAAGGTCAATTACTTTGTTTTTGTTGTATACTGAAGACATTTGGGTTTCAGATCAAAAGATAAATGTGAGACAAAAATTCAGAATTCCAGCTTTTATTTCATAGTATTGACATCTAGATGTGTTAAATAACTCAGGACAGAGCACATTTTCTTTAAACCCACCCACTTTTCAAGTATTGGAACATGTGACTGATGGGTGATGTTGTTTTTGGCTTTGGGTTTCACCTGTGAAAACTGTATTTGCTGTTAAGCAAACATGAAGACCAGAAAGCTGTCTATGGGAGAAAAGCAAACCATTTTGAAGCTGAGAGAAGAGGGAAAATCGATCAGACCTATTGCACAAACACTGGGCATAGCCAGTACAACAATTTGGAATGTTCTGTTGATGACAGAAACATTGGGAGAGCTGTGAAGAAACACCCAAAGACAACAGTCACTGACATCGCTGCCAACCTCCACAGGGCAGGGCTGAAGGTATCACAATCCACTGTTCGAAGAAGACTTTGAGAGAAGAAATATAGAGGCCATACCACAAGATGCAAACCACTCATCAGCAAAAAGAATCAGAAGGCCAGATTGGATTTTGCAAAGAAGTACAGAGAACAGCCACAAAAGTTTTGGAACAAAGTTTTATGGACTGATTAGACCAAGATTAACCTCTACCTAAGTGATGGAAAGGCCAGAGTATGGAGAAAAAAAGGATCTGCTTATGAGCTGGCAATTTACATCCAAACTAATTGGGAGAAGCTTCATCATGCAACAAGACAATGACCGCTGCTTATGGAACGGCTCACTTGTCTTTATTGATGATGTAACTCATGATGGTAGCAGCAGAATGAATTCTGAAGTCTACAAAACCATTTTGGCTGGCAATTTACATCCAAACTAATTGGGAGAAGCTTCATCATGCAACAAGACAATGACCCAAAACACACTGCCAACACAACAAAGGACTTAATCGGGGGAAAAAGTAGAAGATTTTGGACTGGCCAAGTCAATCACCGGACCTTAACCGAATAGAGCATGCATTTTCCCTCCTGAAGAGGAGACTGAAGGGAGAAACCCCCAGAAACAAAAAATAACTGAAAGAGGCTGCAGTAAAGGCCTGGAACAGCATTTCAAATGAAGACTGCAACAACCTGGTGAAGTCAATGGGTCGCAGGCTCGATGCAGTTATTGCGAGTAAGGGTTACGCCACCAAATATTAAACGTTATTCACTTTAAGTTAATTTAATAATGTCTGTTCCAATAATTTTGCTCACTTGGAAAGTGGGTGGGTTCAAAGAAAAGGTGTGCTGTCCTGAATTGTTTAACACATATAGATGTCAATACCATGAAATAAAAGATGGAATTCTGAACTTTTGTCTCATATTCATCTTTTGATCTGAAACCCAAATGTCTTCAGTATACAACAAAAACAAAGTAATTGACCTTGCCGTTCCAATACTTTTGGAGGGGACTGTATATAATGTTTTATTTATTTTGAACAACTAAAATAGTGGCGCTTTGGCCCAGAGGCAATGTCTCTGTCACTGGTGTGCAACCCCAGGGTTCACCTCCTGGGCAAGATCGATTCCCGGTTAAGGCTGTTGGTACCATCCAGTGGACTCACCACCCGCAGAAAGCTTTTGGGGTGGTTGGTACAGTGCAATGTGATTTGGGTGGCGGTCATGGAGACTGTTGTCCCTGCGACGCAGTAACGGATAAGTGGATGAAAATGGATGGATGGACAACTAAAAATCCTTATCACTAGTTCATTCAAATCCACAGGTTGTCTGTTAAGTCCCTGTGATGGTAGAGTGTATTAACCCCTGTTGATGCACTGCTTTAATACTGTGGCAGCACTATGGAGTAAGGGCGGGCATACACTGTACGATTTTTGAAAATCTTGTTGTTGATACCATCACACACTGTACAAGTGATGTACGGACAAAGCTCACGATTTATGTACTCACACTGTACGGTCCGATCATCGAACACGACCAGAGAGCTCACACTGCGGGGGGAAACGGCCCGTCAGCCCCTGCAGACTGTCCTGTCTATTGACAGCTGTCAATAAAGATTCATTTGAAAGCTCCGACACCGGTTATTAGCAACATGCTATTAAAAAAGAAGAAGGCTGCCATTATGATTGCTGCGATACTGTGCGCTGACAATTCGAAAAAGAAGACGCGCCGGCGCATCTGGAGTTGGAGATGGCTCAATAAACATGGACAGTACGTTTATTGTTTATTTATTACGTTTATTTTGGACAGTGCCACAGCTCTATCAATCTCGCCTCCATATTTTCGTGCCACCGACGCCTCGCGCGCCGGCGCATCTGGAGTTGGAGATGGCTCAATAAACATGGACAGTACGTTTATTGTTTATTTATTACGTTTATTTTGGACAGTGCCACAGCTCTATCAATCTCGCCTCCATATTTTTATGCCACCGACGCCTCGCCATGGTGACTATCACTTTGCGCAGGCGCACTGAGGGAGAAATGCTCGGCTCGGGGCTCTGCTTTCACTGTGCGAAAGAATTTGTCGACCGACCAATATTTTTGACATGTCAGAAATTCTTCCGACCGTCCAACGGGGGTTTGGGAACAGATAATCGGCCCTCGTTACCCCCTGTACACTGTATGGAAAAAGACGCCCGACGAAACTTGAAATCGGGCCGAGCGGCATGCGG